TTTTGTAGTTTCATGGCTACCTTTGAAGCCCTTGGTCTCTACACCTATTTTCCTTTGTTTTTACTACATCACTGACATACCTTCTCTTCAGGTCATACAGTAGTTAAGTCGTATATATTATGTATTTATACAACAGTACATATCACTGATCATGTCTTCCGGCGCCACTGCTTGGGTACAGCACACTGCCTTTCCTGCTGTCCTTTACCTTGAAGGCTTCCAGCATTTTTTGGTTGGATTCTCTTAGGAGGATTCCAAGTAAGGCATGGACAAAGATTCCACAGGATGAGAAAAATGTGGAAGGATTGCAATCTGAACCAGGGGAGGGACTATCCACTCTGGTGAGATTATTGACCTGTCTCAGTGTCTTTGTGATGACTAGCTTGACACTACTGGGTCAAGTGAACTGAAGCTGACTTTTGATTAAAACTGGGCACTTCTAAAAACCAATTGGAAGAGGTGCTGGTTGTGAGAGAGACATTTTAGAATAAAGTCAAGGGAAACATAATGTGTATCTGAACTTGTTGAGAAATTCATTTGTCCTCTGTTTTAGCCTCAAGATCAAAACATACACTGTACCAGCAGATGGGTGACTTTTGGCAGAATTGGCGCTGTGTATCATTTTGGGATAGAATGTGTACTTGGCTGTGCCAACTGCAAACGAGTGCCATGTATATGGAGGATCCTTGGCCTTAGAATTGGAAGAGACCTTCAAGAGCATCTAGTTCAAAAATCTTTATTTGACAGATGGGGAAACTGAGGCCCATAAAAGTGGTAGAATTTGCCCAAGATAACAAAATAGTAAGTAGCAGCATTACTCTTAAGCAGTACCTTGGTAGTAGTGTTAATTTCGATCTTATGTTACTATAATCAATACTTTGTCTAAGAGGTAGATAATAACTTTTGTACAGGTTACTTTGTGGAGTGACATTTTGAGGGAAGTACTTCCTTAAGGTGATATGTAAAATGACCTGATTTTTGTTGCTATTGTAGACTGTGAACTCCTTGAGAATAGGGGCTATCTTTTACCTTACTTCATATGATCAGCATTTAGCATAGTGCTTCGCACACGGTAGGTGTTTAATAAATGCTTATTGACTGACTGTTGCTATTATTTGCACTTTGGGGCCATTTGGCAAAAAGCACATTCAAAAAACATGAATTTAGTACAAAAGTAGCTTTAATCCTTTTCTCACACATCTCTCTGACGAGGATACAGACCATTTTGAGGGGATAATTCAGTATACATTGATTGTGGTAGAAAGAGTCACATTATAGGCATGAATCTGGAATCTTTATTAATGAGGTTTTCTAGAGTTTCCTGGAGATGTTTTATGGTGTAGTGGAAAGAGTGCCTGGATGACAGTAGGGATACCTTCATTCTAGTCTCAGCTCTGCCTCAGTTTCCTTATTTGTAAAATGAAAGGGTAGAATTCTATGATCTCCTAAGGTCTTAACTCTAAAACCTTATGCTAGTGTTAGTCCAGGGCTCCAGAAAACAGACCTATCTTATGTAGGAGTGAAATAGCAAGGGAAATCAGTTGTATTAAGCCACCTGGGCTTCACAAAACAAAGAGAATGATCACAGAGCCTTAGAGTTGGAAGGGATGTTAATAAATGGTTTTTGATTTGATGATGCCTGTTACAGAGAGAGTCAGAGCAACTTTCCTATGGCTAGTAAGTATGAGGCAGGATTCGAACCCAGGTTTCCTGATTCTAAAGTCATGGCCTTAATCACCAGGCAATTCTGCCTTTTAGCAGGAGAAAAAGAAAAGTTCTTAAATCCCTAAATTTACAAATATGAGAACCTGGGATCATGGGATCATAGATGAAGAGCTGGAAAGAATTCCAGAGGCTGAACCTCTCATTTTATAGATGAGCAAACAAAGGTCACAGGAGGCAATGTGACTCACTCAGGGTCACATCAGAGTCAGGATTTGAACCCACGTGTTTTGACTCCAGATATAAGGCATTTTCTCCCGTGTCATACCAAGTTTTAGTCTCATTAAAAATGGTGCTTTAAAATGCAAAATATTTTCTATGCAATCTTTCATTTGAGCCTCAAAAAAAAAAACCTTGAAAGGTAGGTAACATGTCATTAATACCCCCATTTTATAGATGAGGAAACTGAGGGTCAGAGAGGTTAAGTGTCTTGCTCTTGATAGACATAGCTAGTAAGAGTTTGAGGCAAGATTTGAACACAGGTCTTTTGGCATCCTATTCACTATTCCACACAGTCCCTCATTCAACAATTACGTATCCTTAAGTACCTACGATGTTCAGAGCACTACCCTAGGTGTTAAAGGAGACAAAACATTTGGAGAAGATACAATTCCTACCCCCAGGAAACTTATAGTCTTTTGCGGGGGAGGTCATCTCTGCTGTGGAATAACTTCTGGGTGGTTGGGAAATCATGATATTACAGCTTGATACCAACCCATGGAGACTTTAAATAAAGACATCAACTACCCGGTTCCTTTCATTCTCTAGCAACTGTTTGGGGGTGAGGGGAGGGGTGATGCCAGAAATTCTCTAAGAGAGAAAATAATTGGCTACTTCATTTAATTCCCCTTCCCATCACAGGTACAAATTGTGAAATATGTCAGAGACTCTATTGTTACAACGAAATCAATATATTGGTAATATTTGCATATCATAGAATCATAGAGAACTTCTCTTTACAAGGCTGATGAGAAATAAATGTCTTACCAAGTTTTTTTTTTAAAGGAATGAGGTTAAAAATATACATTCATAAAACAGAAACTTGCAAGGAAGAAAATAGAAGGAGAGGCAGAGAGAAGAGAGACAGAAATAGGGACAGAGAGAGAAAGAAAAAGAGAGAGAGAGAGAGACAAAGAGAGCAGGGTATGTAGACAGAGAGGGAGAGAAACCGTGGGAGAGAGAAAGAAAGAGTTAGATAGCTAGATGGATGAATTGAACGACATTCAGAAAATTCGACCTATTTACTTAAACTTGTTTCTTACTTTAGAATAAGCATAATGAAAGGCATACAAATTCTTTACTGGAGGAAAAACACACCCACCACACATACAAAAAAATTTAAACAATGCTACCCCCCAAATAAAAGCCCAAAACAGAAGAATAAAATTTGTCCCCATTAAAAGTTCTGTCCCAAATAGTCATAGAGGGGATTAATAACACACTTCCTCAATTACTTTCATGTATATCTCTATTATAGAGATACACATTTTTAGAGATACCCCTACATTTCTGAGAATGGCTTACTGGATTTCATTTTGTCTAGTCCTATGAAGTTGCTTCCTCTCATCCATAATTTGTTCATGAATCAGAGGTCTAGCTTCTGTGACTACCCAAATCATATGACTAAATATCATCTTAATTCAGTTTGTTTTTCTGGTTGTTATTTTCAGGTCTTTCCCTCTCCCCCCACTTGCTGTATGGAGCCTACAGGAGACAGCTGTAATCGCCAACCAGATCTTCATAAGAGAAAATGTTTTACACTTCCTACCTATCTGTATTTTATTGTCTCTAAGTGATATTCACTTCTAAATTGTCAGGCCACCCCTGAAGCCCAATGCTCCAGCTAATTTCTCTCTTTCAGAACTTAAATCTTAAAATGCAAGAACCACACCTCTACTTACAATGAGAAGACTGAGAAAATAGATTTCGAATTCCAAATTTACTGTAGCAGAGGTTCGGTATATTTAGGACTTCACAAGGGTAACAATTGCCCCCCACCTGAAAAAGTGTTAATGGATACAACTGATTTATTTGCATGTGTTTGTCATCAATGTAATCCTCTCTTAAATTAAGCACAAATTAAGTGAATGATTATGTGTAACCCAGTGCTATTTATAAAATGTTGATAGTACCTGGCTTAATCTTTTTCACTTTGAAGATACTTTTTGGAGGCAAAACAAGTACTGATTTAAATTTTTTAAAAAATTTGCTCTTTAGTGCCATGTAGTCAAAACCCATCCTTTTCCTCTATTTAAAAAGCCAGGGCTACATTAAGAGAGAGCTACAAATCTGAGTATATTAGCTTGCTAATAATTTCTTTTGGTATCTGCACACAGGTTACAGCCACCAGTCTGTCAAGTGGAGTGACCTGGGGCATCCCTATTGTCTTGACGGAAATGGAGATGCTGATTTTGTCCTGATTCTCAGTCAATCCTACCAAAAAGCTTTGTAGCACCTCATTTTCAAAGAGGAGAAAGTTATTTGCTGATAAGTCTACCCCCTGGGAAAGACGTCTTGTGGAGACTGGGAACATTCAGTTCCTCAAGTGCTTGGAATGGCCCAATGTGTTCCACTCAGGTTTCTCCTTAAACTTTAAAACCATCCAGATGAAGTCCCACCATGGACTTTTGACACAGATTCAATCAACAAATTGGTACATACCAGCTATCATGAAAACCAAGATGAGAAGTGAAAAAATCCAAACCAACTACAGGCATTTTTGGTGTTCCAAACCCATAAAAGAAAATGACATCAGGGTCTCAAGTTCCCTAGAAGGGTAGTTTGTGAGGGTCAGGTTGGGAGCTTTGAATCAGATCAAATTTCTTCCCCCTCTCCTTCCCTCCCCCATCTCAAACGTCCAAGAGCCACACTTGGGAAGGGATATGTATGGCTGCAACTGCAATCAAATTGGCCTTCAAGATGGTCACAATATGGTCACAATGGACCAGTTGGGCATCTTCCACTCTATAAGAATAAGATGTTAAAGCAAAATTTAAAAATTTTAAATTTAAAAAAGATTAAGAAATATTTAAAGTTTCACTTTTTGTGGCCAAATGTACAGTAAAACTAATTCAAGCAATAATCTGATTCATGAGCCCTTTGAAACCAGCTCACTGGACCATAGGAGCCTAAAGTGAACATGGTAATAGAAACATCCTGAGGCTTTTGCTTCTGGTTAGAGTGATAACATAATATACAATTATAGTGCTAATCCAACTCTGCATGACTCTCTATCCATTTGCACCCAAACTCCGTGGTATTAAAGGAGGTATCCTTACTTTACTGGCTCCCACGATTCCCGTTCAAAGCCCCTGTGAATTGACTGTGCAATTGAGGACTCCATCAGATCGACATATCTAACCACAAGTGGGGCAAACAGGTCCTGCAGGTGCTTGTGAAATTTTCCATTGCATAAGTTATCTAGAACAGACAAGTAAAAGTGGAATGAGAACCCGCCTTCGTTCTAACCACCTACAGACTCTGAGCAGAGGCATTGTCTCATACAATAAACATGCTGCCGATAGGGAAGCCAAAAAGAAAAGGGAAAAAAAAAAAACCACACACACAAAACAAAACATAAGAACGGCCTTGGAACTCGTCCTTAAATCTGTTTGGAAGGAAGATTGAATTTTTAAAAAATCTTACCCATTTGTGTAGCCCTTTGAAAAAGAAAAACAGTCATGTTCCTTTAAAACAACAACAACAAAATCCCACACCATTTCTTATGTTTTCCCTGCATCCCCCCCCCCAACATTCTCAAGGAGAAGGAACATCCTGTGCAGATTCATCTCTCCCCTCCTCCCTCCCCCCACTAATGTAGTATGGGCTTTCAATGCTGGAAGCTCCTTTTCCTTTAGAAGATAGATATGTTTTGATGAAAAACACCAATTGCAAAAACTGTAAAATGAGTTACCTTGCTTAGGGAAAAACATACGCACTTACACATATACATACACTCCCTGCATCTTCTTTTTATGCTATGCTTTAGTTTTGTCTACCCCTTAGGGGAGAGTCACCTCCTAACTGAATGTTAAGGTGGAGGAATGGACACCCGTGGATGATAGAATCACTTGAAACTGGAAGAGACTTCCCTGGTCATCTAGTCCTCATTTTAGAGGTGAGGAAATGGAGACCCAAGGAGGATAAGTAACTCGCTCAAGGTCTCACTAGCAAGTATCAGAGCAGAATTTGAATCCAGACCCCAGACTCTAGTGTCAATGTGCTTTCTACTCCTTCAGAGTATGCCCACAGGTATTTGCACAAAGTCTGGTGTTAGTAACGATAGGCTATCATCGTCTGTCTCCCTACTTGTCCCTTCTTATCTACTGAGGAAAGCAGAATTACAGAAGATGATACATACAATCACTACGGAGGAAGTCATTGAGCAGTTGAAACAGTGGGAAGCTGTCCCATGAATCCGGGGGCTGCACCTCCAAGGCGGCATCCATGTCCACTGCAAATAATGCCAGGAACGTCTCAGCATGCTCCACCATTAAGTCTGACCACCATGCAAACGCCTTGAAGGTAGGCAGAAGAACAACAGGCAGAGAAATTGTTAGCCTTCATCTTTACCCGAGGCCCCCCAAATGCAAGCCTGTAGCTGCTCAAGTCTAAATGGGCATTCAGAGGGGTCACTAGTTTTATTGTAAAGAGAACAGCTTTCTTCAAAAATACAATTGGATATACAGAGCAGAGCACAAAGGCAGCAACCTGTCTTTATTTCAAGAATGTCTTGGAGGGTCAAGATTATTAGGGCAGGCAGGGGTCGTGGTGGAGGGGATGGTGGACAAAACTTCTGTTCAATTTACAATAATGCTACAAATTCTGAGTCATGCTACTGACCAGTGTGCTTGGCTAGTTCTTGTTTGTGAGTATCAAAATTCGGGAGTTTCTTCACTGTGTTTGTGGGTTTTCTGCTAATTTGAAATTTCAAAATAATGAAGCTTCTAGGATGTCTGGACTTTGTCTACAATCTCACACAAACTAATTTACTCACATTTCTCCACTGATACGAACTATTTCTGTTATTTCACATAGGGTAAACAGCAAGCCACGTAAATCCACTCTTGTTAATATTTACACTCAATTTTGTGTCTTTAAAATGTCTTTAAGTAGTTGGGGTGGGGGTGGGGAGGGAGTGTCTTCAATTTCCTATCTGTTCCATAGAAACAAAGTTGAGAAACGTAGAGAGAGCAGGACTTACTTTTCTTCAGGGTGTGGGGGTTGGGGATTGGAAACACATGTACATTGAAAACCAAAAAATATCAGTGAAGTAACTCATTTTCATGCACGTGGATTCTCAGAAATCATTGTGCAGGGTCTCTGGGAGTGACATTCTCATCAGCCACGGCCAGATGTGAATGTACTTCGAAGGCATGCACGCATGTTTAGTAATCACTTCTGCCAAGGGAGCATGCAGCATGAGTGGCGATGTCCACAGGACCTCGTGGGCTCACTTGGAAGTGATAGAGCAAAAGAAAAAAAAATAACCCACCACCACCTTGCCTCCCCCCTCCCTATGCCCACAGTGGCTGAAAGTATTTACATCAGAAACACTTTTGAGCATTCACCCGAAAAGAAGATGGGAAGGAGACTGGAAACATGAAAGATGATTATGGAAAAGAATTCCATAAATGAAACGGGCTGTATAGTGGCCAAGCTCTTCTTAGACCTATTGGTTATTGGGGATGTTCTAACAGCCATCAAGAGGCAGAATGTCTGCCTTTCTTCTTTCATGAGATTCCATTTTACTTACTTCTCCTTTATCAACATGGGGCTGGTTTGCAAATTAAATGAAAAAAATCAAGTCATGGACCATTCTACAAGGTCTGCTTGACTGGAGATATATAGCTATAGTTTCAATTTAATACACAGTAAAACCTCATTGGTTCAGAATAATTCTGGGCATCAGGAAGGGGAATTCGGGTGACCGGTCTCATACTCAAAAGTCCAAGTTAGTTAGAAGATATTTTAAAAGAACAGAATTTTCATTATACCGGTATAATTCTGAGTCACATAAGTTGGCACTAATAAGCAAAATGAGTGAAGAATGTGGACAAATACAACTCTCGAGAAGTCAAGCTTATATGCCATAACCATACAGGTTTCATTTTTGACTTTGTATCCTCAGCACCTAGCACAGTGCTGGCACATAGGGGCAGGGATTGGGACTATGTTTTCATTGCTATAGGGAATTCCCAGGAGTGAAAACTGTCTTCCACCAATACAGGCTGGCGCCTTCACTGATTCTTATAGTCTTAGTGAGCTGGCTCAAACACTGAGATGCCAAGTGATTTACTCAGGACACATAGCCAGTATGTGTTACAGGTATGAGCTGAACTCTAGTCTTCCTGGTTTCAAGGCTGACTCTCTACATAATACACCATACTGCTTCCGATCATACAAATTAGTTTCTTAATAAATGCTTGTTGATTAACAGACTCATTGATCAGATATCATTTAACTTACAGTAATGGGCAGCTAGGTGGTGTAGTGGAGTGATGGGCCTGGAAGCAGGAAGATCTGAATTCAAATCTGGCCTCAGATACTTACTAGCTGTGTGACTGTGGACAAGTCACTTAACCCTGTTTGCCTCAGTTTCCTCATGTGTAAAATGAGTTGGAGAAGGAAATGGCAAAGCACTCCGGTATCTTTGCCAAGAAAACCCCAAATGGGGTCATGAAGAGTCAGATATGACTGAAATGACTGAACAATACAACTTACAACAATCAATTACCAGACTCACAAAGACATTGGCAAAACCACTTCCTCTTTGTTTATACATTGGCTTAAGATCATCTACTAAATTCGTTTTACTCTTCAGTGTGATCCTAACAATTGACAGAGGAAGGAATTGTTTCAAATTCTTGCCTCAGTGGAAACATCATAGGAATTGAAATTGCCCTAACTTCTAAATTAGGGGTGGTCTGAATGAATGAGGTTTTAGTAGATTCTTGTGCAGAGAGATGAGAGCCCCGAGGCTCACTGCGTTCTCTTTGGACATCTGGTTATAATCAGCGTGGATGAAAACCCTCCATCTCTCCTTTGATGCTTTACCATCCCTTTGGAAAGAGACAATCTAAATGCCCGGTCCAGGGGTGGGGAACCTGTGGCCTCAAGGCCCTGGGCCCAGGTCTGATGACTTTCCCCCTGCCTCCTGCCCCATGTTAGACTGCGTATCTTGGACATTCCCCCATGGCCCTCTTAAAAAGCAAAAATTCCTTTCAAAGATTGAGGTATGGTATTCTCCAGGAGTTTTGGTCAGTTTCTTGGTTAGCATTTTGATACAATGTGATATAAGCCAAAAGAAGATTTCACCTCAATACAACCTCCCAATGATTAGGGCTGTCTTGAAGTGGAACAATGGCCATCACTGAAAATCTCCAAGGGAAAGTAAGATGAGCGCTTGTAAGGGCTATAGTAACACGGATGGCCACTGAGGGGTGCAGGTACACAGGTAGGCTACATGAGCTCTGAGATTCTTTATAATTCTGAGACTATGTGGGTCTATAGAAAAAAATCTTTTTTTTAAAGACACCAACACACCCATGAGATGTCATTTGTTCTAGGGGACAAGAAAGAAAAACCTTTTGAATGGAGTGTTTCTCCACTCAAATGAAAATGTAAACAGTTCTTAGTACAATGTCTGGCATATAGTAAGCATTGTGTAAATGTTTATTGGCCTTCCCTTCCCTTTGCTCAGAACTGCTTTAGTCTTGCCTATCTCTCCATTTCACATTATGAATCCAAGGGCCAGGGGTGGCATCTATCACATTCAGTAAAGGGTTTAGCACATGGTTACCAATCAATTAACTATTGAACAAATAGGTCCATAATGATGATACTCTTACCAACAAGTCTTTTCTTAAGCTTATTTCCTAATGTACCTTAAGATTGAAGCTTGCTTAGAATACTATGATAATTTAAAGTAACAAAATCCAGCAACCAACCCCAAAGTATAAAAGCTCTCAGGACCAACATAAACAATAGTGTGTGTGTGTGTGTGTGTGTGTGTGTGAGAGAGAGAGAGAGAGAGAGAGAGAGAGAGAGAGAGAGAGAGAGAGGGAGAGGGAGAGGGAGAGGGAGAGAGAGAGCAGTATTTATTTGTGCATCCCAAAAGAATTGGGAACTCTCTAACCACAAATGACTCTATGACTCTGTTGGGGAGGGACACCCAAAGAAATACTAATTCCAGTTTTATCCCAGTGAGTACAGAGGGCACATGACTCATTCAGCAAACAGCCTGGCTTTTCACTTTTTGATGGAATTGTAATCTCCTAGATTTCAGAATCTGTTTCACGCCTGTCTTTGTGTCCCTAGTACCTAGGACAGTGGCTGTGGCACACAGTAGATTCTTAATAAATGTTTGCTTGCTGTTGAAAAGTTGGTTACTCTGCTGGTATAGGCGAATGCAATTCTTGTAAATGTTCTAACTCATTATTGGTTAGAACTACTCTGAAAGAGAGTAATGTTTCTTCAAACCATCTTCCAAGCTGTTAATATGCCATTTTATCTCCCAACTGCTTACCTGTGTGCTTTTAAAAATATTTTCAAAGAGAAGGCACAATCACCCCAAAATTAAATTTTGTATATCTCACACACACGTTCACATGTATATATGTACCCCTGTGTGTCCAAATACATATATACATATACATACGTATACATAGAGAGAGATTGGGCAAAAAGAAAAGCAGCAAAACAGGACAGTGTTTTATAACATTTCTCCCTGTTGAGGTTCTGAGAGCAGAATCCAATGAAGAGGCCATTGAGACAACAGATGGGACAAAAAGCTTACACTATTGTGGAGATAGCTACAGTGCTGGACTCTCTCTGCAGTTCTGAATTTTCTCTGGGACACTGAGATTGCTTTATTTTGGAATTTAAATGGGTTTGAAAGATCATATGATGGAGGAGACATTAAATCCATGCTGCATTTTTATAGGTCTTTTGCCACCCTACATTGCTAACATTTCCATGTTACAATTTACTGATTTTTAGGAGAATTTGCTGCTCAAATAATGGAGCCACACTTTGCCAGAGAATAATCATAGTGAGGTAGGTCCAAAGAAATCAGATTACCAGTTACTGTTATTTGGCATCACAGACCCATCATTAATGATCCCATGCAAATCTTACCTTCTCCATGCCAACTTGTACCCAGGTTGGAAGTGATTTGTCCCTTACTCTGAAATCCTACATCACTTGTCACCTGTGCTAACCTTCTCATGTCAGTTATCTTTTTATGTGTGGCATTGTGGGTAGGATGCTAACTGTGGAGTTGGGGATCCTGTGTTCAAATTCTGCTTCAGACCTGATGTGTGGTAAATGGCACAGTGGGTAGAGGGGATGTGGAGTTTGCAAGATCTGAGTTCAAATTCAACCTCAGACGCTTACAAACTCTGTGATCCTGGGCCACTCAGTTAACTGCTGTCTGCTTCAGTTTCCTCATCTGTAAAATGGGGATAATAAAAGGACCTATCTCCTAAGGATTTTGTGAAGACCAAATGAGATAATAATTGTAAAGCACTTAGCACAGTGCCTGGCACATAGCAAGTGCTGTTTTACCATTAGCAATTATTATTAGTAATAATAATAGCAATGCTATTCCCTCAAAATAATAATACTATCCCCATAATAGTAACAATAATAATGATAATATATATTACTATTACTTGACCTCTATGTGTTGGGACATATTTATTAAGTCAAAGAGAGAGAGTACATCTCCATTTGTGGCAGAAACTCTCACACTAACAAACCATCTGTTCTTTGTGTATTTCTCTAGTTAGATTATAAGCTCCTTGAGGGCAAGAACCAGGCTAGCATGGTGCTGAGCAGAAATCCAGGGGCTCAGTGAATAAAATCGAATGAAGTTACATAGGTTTGCAGTTTGGCTAGGACGTTTCTGCCTAAGTGTGTGTACCATTAAGTGACTATACCAAATGTAACTAAAATACCTTTTTATACAAATGAATTCAGTTTCCTTATCTCCAAAGTGCACCCAGGTCATCATTAGTCCTAAGAACAAATCTTAAGAGTCCTGAAAACAAATCTCTGAATCTACTTTTGTTCTCTCATAGAATCATCTATGACAGTGATTTTTTTAAATACATAAAAGCAAAATGTTTCGTGACAATCCTTGTCAAGATAGTTCTGGACAATGGTTAGGACCTGAAAAATTATGTTCAAAATTCATGCTTTTCCCAGAAAGCTTAACTTTTCTCTGGTATCTCTTTGGATACAACTTTGTGAAAGGTCATTGAATATTTTTTTCCCCAAACCACAGGTAGATTTTTAAAATATAACTCACTTAGAACTCAGTGTTGATCGTGGTTTCCCTCAATGTTCATGAACCATCACAATAAGATGTTGAGAACACTGGTTATCCCATGAGGGTTGGTGTAGTGGAGGAAGCTTTCTGTTTCCTCAAACTAAGGAAGAACTGCGAAAACCTCCTACATTCTCTTGAAGAATACTCTAGCTGACACTTGAGTCAATAGCATGGCCAATATGGAAAGATCTTTACTCACATTCAGAAAAAAAACAAACAAACAACAACCAAAGATCGTGAAAGTTACTTTGGGTAGGCCATGCCTGAGAGGCAAGGTTAGGGTTAAAAAGAAAAAAAACCCAACCCTGTGGATTTTATTCACTTTTCTGGTATATTCCTCAAAGCTGTGCAGAGCTTGCCATTGCTTTGAAATCATCCTCCTAATCATAAGGAAATATAATGGCCTTCCACCTGGATTTGGGAGAAAATATTCGCTCTTGGCCACTCTCTCTATATATAAATACCGTATATATGATTCACATACAGACAATATTATAAGAAGATTAGTACCATTCTAACTAGCTGCTGGTTGCTAAGTTCACTACTCATCTGGCATAATAAAGGTGAGTGCAGACCAACACAGGTAAATACGACAGGCTAAGTAAGGAAAGAGTCCAGGCAGGTAGGGTTGTGTTGGGATGTAACTGCAGTCCTTTTTCAGTATACTGATTGCTTCATGCATGGACCAGATTGTCACCCCACATTTACACTTCTGTGGAGGGAAACCAATTCCAAAAGCCGTCCATCTGAAGGTGCTGTTACATTCCTTTGGGGGAAGGGGCAGAGCTACAAAGCAAGGAGCGCCCGGGTAAAATCCCATCGGAAAACACCGCATTAGAGGGCATGCACGAAGTATGACAGGAGGTGACTTATTTCATTCGGTTTGAGTCACATACCTCTTTTCCCTGCCAGGATCATCCAAGAATGAATGAACAGTAGAAAAATAGGGAGGAAATTTAAATATGCAATCAGGCATTAGTTGGGACTAGTGGATTTACGGTGTGTTATTTATTAGTTAATTGTACTGTCAATGTTCATTAGATGGTGGAAATATCTTTGACTGCAAAATTGCTTTTACTGAGTGCCTTTAATGCAACCCATCTAAATGTGAAGGAAAAGACAGAGTAAGTGCATCACTTTTTTTAAAGTGCATGATTTAAGAAAAGGATGCCAAAGAGAGCATCATTCAATCTGAGTTTTAAAATGAATTGGGACATATAGCAGTTGGGACAGAATGGATTTAACGACAAGCTAGACTTATGGAGTTAGTTCCTCACAGGTTTAGGGTTCTGTTAGAGCTGGCATTCTGTGGCATTGCAAATACCATAAAAGAGGTCTTTTGGACATGATGACAAGCTTAACTGATTGAGGTGCATGTTGGAAAACCTACATGATAAGCAACACGGAATAAAGATCCATCTTGTCACAGCATTAGCAACCCAAGGTAAACTAGAAAACAAATAAAGAGTGTACTATACAGTAGCAAAACTTAAGGACAAATTAGAAAACACTGCCTAGTATCCACATGACAAAGGACCAATACAAACACCACCACCACCACCAAGAAAAAGGACCAAAACACACCCCAGGACCAACTTGGCCTGTGAGAATGGAATGAATTTGGGAGTCATTGCCTCTGGGCTAGACTTACCTTGTTTTTGTTGATGCCTAAAAAGATCAGAAAATGGTATCCAAATGGACAGAACACAGCCCAATCTTGAAGATGAATTACCTCCTCAAACCTTCTGGGCCAAAGTCTCTTTGTCTCTTAACCATGTTCTAGAAAGCCCAACTGTGTAAAGGAATATGGCAACACTTCCATTGCAACACTTGGCACGTGGGGAAAAATGTTGTAAACCACAGGGAGACTTGTCTCTAGGGGGCACCAATATCCACTGCACAGTGATGTTACTCACCTCTGCATGATGCTCTTCATTTTGCTGGAGGACTTCAATGACTAATTCCGCCAGGCGTATTGTGTCTTCTAGTTTTTTGGCAGGAGTGATTAAGCGGCCTACATTTTCTGCAGTACAAGAATTGGAGTTAAAATTCATCACAAGTGTTGAGCGAGTGTTGTGGCCATTAGAACTAGTGGGTAAGAGATCCCAGAATAATTTAACAGCTTAAAAAAATTCCCATGCAAATGTTAAATGCTACATCATTAGTAGTGAGCAAACCATGAAGCCGCTTTCAAAAATTATTATAAGAGTATGACAAAACAGTGCTCCAGCTTGGCATCTGCCCATTGAGTTTTCAGAAATATACTATTGCCTATTTCAAATTGAGTGACAGTGACATTTTGTACCCATAAGAGCATTCTCTAAAGACAGCATCTATGGGTGACTTTGCTATGCCACCAAACTTCTGCATCTGCTAAGACTACCTAGAAATTCTACTTACAGAATATTTATGCCACATCTCCGCTATCCAGAGCTTCTGAATCTTTTGGCAAATATCATCTTCTTAGGTTACATTTGTACTAAAGGTCTCGATAGTTCATTGGCACAATTTTTTTTAAAATTAGGCCAAATTGAAGGATGTGGCTGCTTCCAGCAGGGCAGGAAGGGGATTGGAAGAAATGTTAATTTTTTTTGGACAGAAAGTTCTCTGGGTGTAATTGTTCCATTGTTAACATCAGTGAATGCTCAAGTTTTGTAGGGTCAAAGAGAGAACATTGGATAGCTTTGCCTATCTTTCTCTCATGCCAGGATGTTTGGAGCCCCTCTGAAGGGAGGCTAAGTCAGAGTAGTTCAATAGGGTTCTTGCAGTAAAAAGAAAAGGGGTGTGCGTGTGTGTGTGTGTGTGTGTGTGTGTGTGTGTGTGTGTAAAACTGTACTTTCAGAAACTATGTAGAACACATGATTTTCTCATGGCTATAGCTACTATGTTCCTTCCTAGTGAACAGGGAGAAGCAACCAGCCCTCCCCAATCTGCCCTTTTATTCATTTTAGCAGGAAAGTATCGCTTTTTAGAAATCATTGGGGAAGAGATGTAACTAAGTAGTGGTTGATGCCTTTGCTCATGCCTGAATTCATGACTTTTGTTATTAAAGATGAAAAAGGCTAGAAACATAAAAGGAAAATTCATAGCATCGTAGATTTACAACTTAAAGGGACCCCAGAGGTCATCTCGTCCAATCCTTTCATTTTACAAGGAGGAACACGCCAAGAGAGTTAAGTGGCTTGGCCAAGGTCACACAGCTAATAGGGCCTGCTGTGTTCTGGAAGAGATTAGTGATTGCATGCTACTATTTTCGCACTCCACGTCTCGTTAGACAAAGCTAGGTTAACCTGAAAAAATTAAATCCCAGTATTGTGTGCGTGTGTGTGTGTTTGTGTGTGTTTGTGCATGCTGAGATGTCCTTATAAGAGGAGGTCTGAATTGGGTTCATCTGCATTCTCCGTAGAATCCTAAAAAAAGTCTCCTCTCATATCCTCCTCCTCCTAGCCCTGTTAGTATCTTGGGTGGTTAGGGGAGCAGAGTTAATTAGCATTTAGCTTAATTCCTCCGGAAATAGAGCTATTTGCTTCAGGAACATTGGGCTTTTTGTGAAGGGAGGACAGGTATATTTTGACCTTACTTGAGTTTTTTCCTGGGGGTGGGGAATGGGTTGCTTCATGGACTTTTCATGAATAAGGATTGTTTCATTCTTTACATCTGCATTGCTAGCGCCTAGCACAGTTTGAGCACATAGTAGGAGTTTTAGGGATTAATAAAACCTTGTTGGTACAGTGCTGCAACCGGAGTCAGGAAGATCTGAGTTCAAGTCTATCCTCAGATACTTACTAACTGTGTGACCCTGGGCAAGTTTCTTAACCTCTGTTTGCCTTAGTTTCCTCAACTGTAAAGTGGGGATAAAAATAACACCTACCTTCCAGAGCTGTTGTGAGGATTCAATGAGGTAATATTAGCAAAAATAAGTGCTTAGCACAGTGCCTGGCACACAGGAGGCGCTATGTAAATTCTTATTCACTTTTCTTCCCTTCTTTTCCCCCTTGATTAATTGCATTTGTTCTTTCTGTGGTTTGGTAGCCATTAGCAAATTGATATTGATTTCATGGGCTGCTTACTCTCTTGATTGACTTATATTATAGGAGATTGTAAATACTTTGAATAAACTCATTAGTTCCCTTTGTGCACGATCAAAGCTGATTTGTATATGACATTGTTCCCCCTTAGAATGTAAATTCCTTGAGGGCAGGGACTATTTTTGCTTTTCATTTGTGCCTAGCACTTAGCACAGTGCTTGGCATGTAGAGAGTGCTTGATAAATGTTACTTAACTGATTGATCCATGGATGGTTAGAGGGAAGGATTTCTCTGCTGGGCCAAGAAGGATATTAAACCTATCTGTTCAGTAGCAGTTGAGAATACACTGATAAAACATAAATTCAGATTTCTTAATGTGTTATAGACCTTTATCTTTTTGTAGATTGGCTTGGAGAAAGCAAGATACCCCACAACGTGGCCCTTTGAAGTCCTATGAAAAGAAGATGATTTTGACTGGCTACCTGTCAGCCAATGAAAAAATGGCTCACTGTCTGAAAATGAGGGAGACCTGAACTGTCTTAGGCTTGTGATGATTCCCCATTATAGAAACAAGAACTCTAGAGTCACACAAAGGGATAAGCTATACTAAGACTCATGTGTTACACCCAGAGAGGAGGAAATAGAGTTGCCATTGGGAGAGAGATTGCCAGGCTCCCGGTGGTAGGGGATGACATGTAAGGACTGTAGAGGCTAATTAATCAAACAAAATATTGTATACTAGAGGTTACTCACCTGTGGGTTATTTTACAAGTAAGCAAGGACAATTTTACCTGCTGTCATTAAGGTCTTATAAAACATACTGTGTACACATGTCTGGGTAATAAGTGTAGGAGGGGGTATTTTCCTGTTGACAAGTTACTTTGCAAAGCTAACAGTAATGTTTCCAAAGGATTTGAAAATTCCCCATCCTATGCATATTACCTATTACATACACATCTATGCACACACACACATACACATTGCCTACTAAACACACCATCCTGCACATTAATACATATCTGCTGGGGAGCCCCACTTAGTGCATCTTTAAAATCTCTCATTATCTTTTAAACAATTGAGAGTTCTGAACTTTGGGGAACATTCACTAACTAGCATGATTTGACTTGATGTGACTTACTACTTACCCTTCCAAGCTGACAACTTTCACATGTAGTTGCTTTGGAAGATTTTTTGCATTTGGAGAAATTTAAGATGCTTTAAGCAGGTCCACTAAAATATATGTATTAATGCTCAGGAGTTTTTGATTGACCACTATCTATCTATCTCTCTTGATAGATATGCACATATATGTATATATGCACCTAACCTTTTCATGGTTGCTTGCAAGTATACACATATATGTGTTTGTCTGTTGTGTTTTATATATATATATATATATAATATATGCACATATATTATATATATACAGCCAGTATGTTTAATAAAACCCCTTTCGATTCTTAATTATAACAGGCAGCCATCCAAGTTAATCACTTAATAATCCTCAGTCTACAAAACCCAATCTGCTAATTAACCCATGCAACCAAACATTTATTTTTTAGGTGTTTGATAAGGGATGAATGCCCAATTAATAGAAAATGGATTCGTGGAACTTCTTAGGAGAGATATCTGTCGCCTGCCATTTTTGTAGGTCATCTATTGGCTAAGGGATAGATGTTGATACTGAGAATGCTTCTCTAAGATGCTGTCTTTAAAGAAGATGCAGGGGTAGAGGATCTTGCTAACCAGCAGAGGCTAACGAACACACATATGTCTAGAACTAATTTTTTTTGTTTGTTGCTTGGTTTTACATGTTCAAAACTGTCTCTGCTATGCTGCAATATCTCTGTGGTCCTCATGTCACGGTAGCAGCTGGAGCACTGGAGGCTGAACAAATACAGTATACTTAGAATGACATTTCATACAACAGAATTTAAGCTCATACGTATAAAAATTGTCATGCAAAATGTTATGCAACAACAATGTTATTTTGTGCTGACATTGAGATTTGAAAATGTTGCATATGTCAGACATTGCTAGACAAAAAATGTGGACATTTGGAAAGAAAAGCTATCCTTTGAGTCTCTCAAAAGCCTACTAAGTTCCAATTGAGAGCTGACCAGTCTCTGCTTTGGAATGACTACCTGCTATGCATCAACACTAAACCAAATGTTAAGGGGAAAAAAACATGGACAGGAAAGCCAACTAAACTAGCAAACAGCATAAGGAAGGAAAGGGAAACCATTACTGTACTTGGCGTTTGCCTAGGTATGCCCTTGAGTCTCTGAGTTAACGTGTTAGTCTGTCTTTGCAAGGATGGAGGAGGCCCTCGTGGTGGCTGGTGAGCTGTTCAGGTAGATGAGGGGAGACGGTAAAAGTAAAGAGACAACGTGACTTTAACACATGGTAACAAATAAGAAGACCAACTTGGAAGAACACAACAGAACAGAAGCATAAATGGTGATACAAATGGAGAGCTGCTATTGTCCCAGAATATGTCAATGGTCCCCGGGTGTCACATAATTGGACAGGCAACAGCACCGCTTGACAGCTTCTACAACCCTGGCCCTTCCTAGTCACACAAAAGATGACAATTTCCTGTTTTTAATGGAGCTATCACACGGACATTAGTAGCTGCTTGAAAATTCATTTTGAGAGTAATAGTACCAGTGTTACCAAAGATTGCTTCTTCCATTCTGATAACAGAAAATATTTCTTAAGTAGTCAATGATCAGAAACCCTGGTTTCTAGACCCAGCTCCCACCACTTACTGGCTTTGTGATTGTGGACAAGTCAATGAATCTCTTTTGGAGCCTCAGTTTTGCCATCTGCAAGATGGGGATGATAATACTTGCCATGCCTAACTCTCGGGATTGTTGCAGGGTTCAAAGGAGATAACATTAAGGAGAGCATTAAGAAACTATAAAACATATTACTAATTACTAGCTATTATTATTAATGTCCTTGCCTTCTCTGAAGAGGGGGAATGCGAGAC